GTGGACATAGCCATACGTATCGACAAGTCGCTCGTGGACATCGCTACGTAGTTGCCAATGTGCACCACCCATGGACATGCGCTAGCTTACGGGCCGGTATAGCGATCGTAAAAACTCTTATGGGCCTGGCCACTCTCAGGGCGATGTCCCATTGAGCGGAAATCTATAGCGGAACGGAATGTGCGGAACCAGCTCGACCAATCGTAACCATAGAAAAAGCGAAGGAAAGAAAACGGAATGGCTATGATTGGTCGAGCTGGTTCCGCACATTCCGTTCCGCTATATATTTCCGCTCAATGGGACATCGCCCTCAGGCTTCTCTCTGCTTCTATTCTACTTCCAATGGAAACGGAACACTAAATTTGATCTGTACCGGAGTGGAACCAAATTGAGAGTTTCGGTGGAAACTAGACCAATGACGCGCTGTGTACAACGGCCTTTGAGATCCACTTTTGTGGATATGGCGCTAAAGCGGCTGAAACGTCGTAAGAAACTACAATAGGATGGCCGCTCTCAGATTTCTCTCTGCTTCGACTAGCTGAAGTCGTTCCAAAAGATCCACAAGTTTATAAAGAAAAAAAAATCATATTTTTTAAAATATTATTGTAATATCATATAATACAAACTTATTGACAGTAATAAAATATACAAATATAATTTTTCAGTTCTTTGTCCCGTAAGAGAAAAGATGCTTTATTCCCTCTGATTTTCTCTTTTCTGATTCCTTCTTCCTCGCGATGTTCTGTTTAACTTGTTCCAACATCGATACGTTCTAAAAGAATAAGTAAAACTTATACAAAAGGTTTTTCTTTCGACTTGCACCTAGAGATCAATGTTATAGAATATTTTATTCACTTACTGTAACAGCGATAAGCAACGAGCAATTATTCGTATGCAAATACTGGGTTGTATGAACATTGTTGCTGTCTGTGTTAAAATCTCTTGTCGTCTCATTAAAATTGTCATTCTTCATTAATCCTTTTAAATAGATGCATACATTCTTGATTCTACTTACTCCTTTAATAAGATTTATATTTTCTTGATAAAAATTGTAGTCGCATTCATTGTTGAGCAGAATAGTAACTGTGAAACGAGTTAAGGTCTTATAATCAATATAAACAAATAAATTAAAATATTAATATATTCATGAATAACTTAATATAATATTGTCTATAATATATTATACAGTATATTATATATTATATGTCAAATATTATATATTTTTTATTATAACAATAAATAATAAATTAAAATATTAAGTTTTTCATAAATAACTTAATATATATCGTTTATAATATATATATATGTTTTTTAATATATATGTAATGTTTTTTATTAATATATTTTTAGAAATAAATTAACATATTAATAGAGTTTTATTCTACTTTTTAATTTAATATTAAATTAATTTTTTTAAATTGTAATGTTCAATCTTATTTGAATCTGATACTTTAGTTAGTTACTTATATTAATGTAATCGGAAGTTTGAGACACAATTGTTTCGTAAATTACTGACCTTTTGGATCTGTTTTTCTGCTCACATTTGTCATGCAGCTTCTGATTACATGTATTATATTCTCGATCTCGTGCATTCTTTGTTCCAAAGCGACGTCTTTTAAATGGTCAAACTAGTAAGGAAAATAAACATTGACGAATAAAAGATTATAGATGAGTAGAAGACAATTTCCGATCATATACATACTTCATGTGACATAGGATAAGACGTCTCAAGTACCGAAGTGACCAATTTAAATCTTTGAAGCTTTTTCTTAGCAAGTCTCGTATAGAGTTCGTCCGATAAGTATGGCATGATAGGCGCGAGAACGCGCAACAGTACTTCCAAACATCTTGCTAGAGTGTCGGAATGCCCAACAATTATAGCGACAGTGCCAGTCTTAAAACCATATTTTGTTCCTTCCTGCGTTAAAAATAACAGCATACATTGAAATAAAAATATTATATAAAATTATATTTCAAATTGAAGTTAATAAGGTCACATTACATTGTCATTATTCATACGCAATTTTGTGAAAGTTTTTATAGAATCTCGTAAAAATATTACGCATTTTGTGTTATATATTATATTAAGCAGTAATTATATATATATACAGGGTGTCCCAGAATTGGTTTAACATCTCTCGTAGACAGGTAGAAGGAATAAAACTGAGGTGAAAAGTCCTATACCATTTTGCTAGATTTGCAATAGTTACCGAGATTTTAATTAACAAAGATCCGCGAATAAGCGTGCATCGGGCTGTCTTACGCGCGTAGGTCTTTACGCGCTTAAAGAGCCGTCTACAATGGAGAGTTGTAGGCCGTAATAGTAAGAAATTGACCAATCACAGGCAAAGTACAGAAGAATAATCGATTGTGATTTGTCAGTTTCTTACTGTTACAGTCTAAAATTCTCCATTGTAGACGACCCTTAAGACAGCCCAGTGCGCTTCGCGCGCTTACGGTGTTCTAGTTTCCACCGAAGCATTAATTCACACTTAATGCGACGTAAAATCAAATTTAAGTCGATGGAAACCTGTCAAATTGCGCTGATTTCGCTTCCGCTTCGATCTATAAGTACTCTACTTCCAATGGAAACGNATGCTTATTCGCGGATCTTTGTTAATTAAAATCTCAGTAACTATTGCGAATCTAGCAAAATGGTATAGGACTTTTCACCTCAGTTTTATTCCTTTTACCTGCCTACGAGCGATGTTAAACCAATTCTGGGACACCCTGTATATATATTTTTTATAGTATACCACATAAAGATCACAAAATTCATAATGCAGAAATTGACGAATTGCGGCAACTGCTTTGTGAAAATTTCGCTCAGCCAGTGCGTCATTCACTGTCTCTACCATCCAGGACAATCGACTCAGAATCCATCGATCTAGAGTACATAGATTTCCGTTTTCCTTGTGTTGTTCCTGTCGTTGAATCACTTCACTCTTATCATCAGTCTTCGTCATCAATAATACATATTTGCTCGCTTGCCAGATCTTGTTACAGAAATATTTACTTGTTCGACAATCATCCACGTCGAAACTAATAGTGCGACCTATATGATAAGGAAGACAAAAATTAGACTACTTATAAAATATATAACTATTTTATATAAATGTGATATATTTGATGCTTTTGTGGTATGTCATAAAAATTTCTGAAAATGATTTTTAGGTATTTTATATCAATAATATTAAATTTATATTTAATTATAATACAAGTTTTGGATTCTCATTCTCATTAAATTTGCAACAATTCTCAAAAATCATTTTATTTGCTTACTCTTGATGTTGCGTGCACACAGCGAGAACCTCAAGGCATCGGCGCCGCAATCGGGTATTCCCGCAGGATATTGTTTTGCATTCACACGCAACGTTCGTCGTAGCTCGTCGGTGCTGAGAATGCCCGCCGCGTGACTATTCTCCGCTTGCGCGTTTAGTTCCTGCGTTATGATTGCGTCTATTTTCAATTTATGAAAACATATTATTTTTTAAAACTAGAAGACTCGATCACTAAGAGTTTTAATATATAGTATGTAATGTAATTTTACAAAATAGTTTCCAAATATATCTCAAAAAATAAGTTTTAATTGGCGTCGTTAATTTACTGCGCAAGTTTGTAATAAAATACCTGCAATGTGCAGCCATTAATAATATTCTCGGGCGAGATGACATTGCCGGAACTTTTAGACATTTTCTTGCCATTAGCGTCGCACAAAATGCCATGAAGCAGAACTTCCTGTATGTTCACGATTTAATACTTATAATTTTGTATTTGTGTTTATACTAATTATTTTTGTCTGCATACCTTGAATGGCAAACGTTGTGTCAGTTCTAAACTCAACATTACCATTCTTGCTACCCAAAAAACGAGAATGTCGTGACCGGTTTCCATTAGCGTTAACGGATAGTACCTTACTATGTCTTTTGTCTGTGAAATAACAAAAACAAATAAGTACAAAAATAAAATTTAGAAAGTCATAACAATGGGAACTGACATGTTTCGGCCAGCCAAGCGTGGCGAATGGCACAATCGCCGAGGAGAACCACGTATCAAGAACATCGAGGTCCTGAGTTACGCTCACTGCATCTCCATATTTCTCCCTTGCTCGAGCATGAGCTTCTTCTTCTGACCGTGCGACTATCCACGAAGTGGCGTTACTAGGAGTAACATTGCCATTGTTGTTATTATTATTGATGCAATTTACAGAGTATGCTGGAATACGGTGTCCCCACCATAATTGTCTCGACACGCACCAATCTCTAAAAAAAAACTTTTTAATAAACATTTACATTTATTTTATTAAACACTGTTTATTTTAAATAAAATAAGAAGTTTTAACCTAGCGTTTTCAAGCCACTTGTGCCACTGTTCGTAGATATCACCATCGCTCGGATCGATTTTTAGCTTGCCATTTTCTACAACTTCGCGCGCCCGTTTAGCCATTTCCGCACATCGTATGAACCACTGCTCTTTCGGTAAATACTCAATTACGTCGTGTGTTCGCGAGCATCGTGGTAATATCATCTGATGATTATCATCTACATCTCTCACTACACCTCGTATCGATAGCTCGTTTATCAGTTTTTTCCGCGCAACAAATCTCGGAAGACCCTATGTAAATAATTCATTAATATTACAGTAAAAAATAAAAAATGCAAATCTCAATCCTGTAAAGCCTCTTGCACAATGAAAGAAATAGCGATAGCGATAGAAATAACACCAGTTTTAAAAAGTTTATATTTATAAACGGCAGGAACAGCAGAATCTAACATATAAAAATACACATGTATCAATGCAGATCACAAAACGGAATAAACAATAGCTATAAAATTTCCGACGAGTTGGAATTCTGTGTCTATTGCTTATCGCTATCAGTATTCCTTCGCATTGTGCAAGGGGCTTAAAAGTAAAAAAGACAAATGTAAAAAGTACAGAGAAAGATATATAGAAATACTGTAAATATGTTTAAAAATAAGAGAAACTTCAGGAAACATACAAGTCATTTTTAACAATAATCATACTTTATATTCCTTGCAAGAGTCTGTCATTTTACCGTCTTCGTTGATAACGACAATAACCGGCAAATTGTGTCTTTTGGCAATACTATAATCCAAACGATCATGTGCAGGTGTGAGTTTTAGAGAGCCTGTGACACAAATAATTATCAAACAAAAAAGAAATAAATATAATAAATAAACAATTTTCAATATATATTTTTTTCAAAAACAGTTTATCAATTCATTTTTGCTATAAGCAAAATATTTACCAGTGCCAAATTCCTTTTTGACTGAAGAGTCAGCTATAATGGGTATAAAGGTATTTCTCATGGGATGTAAGACATGCCGACCAATATATTTCGAATATCTCTCATCGTCTGGATGCACTGCGATTGCCACATCACCAAAAATTGTCTCTAGTCTAGTGGTTCCAACTATCACTTCTTCGTCTGTAAAAACCAAAGAATAATTTTACTTTTATACATACTTCACACATACACGCACACACACACGCACGCACGCCCACAAGCACACACAGACTTATTAATTTCATCTTTTATACATTCCTTTCTACATTATAATTATATCTCTTCTAAGATATTGTCTATGAATATACAAAATATACTCACTTGAATCTTTGATTGGATAAGCTAACTTAATCAGCTGTCCAACAGTAACCTTGCTATTGTAGCCGGGTAACTGAAGATGCGTCTTGCCGTTTACAATAAAATCTTCAACCTCGATCTCGGATATAGTACTCCGCAATGCCGGCGACCAATTAACAAGATCTTTATCTCTATACAACAAATTCTTTTCGTTTAGCTGTACAAATGCTTCTGTCACCGCTGCACTGTATCTCTAAAAGAGCACACAGGAACAAACTCAACGATATACATATATAAAGTGACAATAATTATAATAAAAAAATTAATATATGTATACGTATACACGGTGTTCCATTGTAAAATATGCCTAACCTAAATATACTTAAATAAATCTGTAGAAACGCAGTTTCACGAAAAATGACCTTAACAAAAGTTGTTCAATTCGGAGGGGGACATCTAATGGTGACCTTGAATTTGACCTTAACCACTATTTTCAAGGTCATTTCAAGGTCAACTTATTTTTTTAAATGGAAACCTCTAATTTTTTTTACGACATCTTATTCTATGTAAAAAAACAAACAACTTTTATCTGAATCATTTTTCATCAACTTCCATAGTCCAAGATAAAAAAAGAGTTGTTTGTTTTATTATAACATTTTCGCATTTGCAACTGTTTTTGTCCACTGATCGACTAAGTCACTGATCTTACATCAATAGATTTTTTTATGGAGCTACCTTAAAGAAAAAGTATATCACGACTCACCAACAACCCCTAAAAATATGAAACAGCGAATTATAAATGCTTGCGGAAATATCAAGAAAGAAACTCTACTATCTGTGCATCAATCGTTCATAAAACGTGTACTAAGGACGTTCTCATTATTGATTTTCTTAGAATTTTCTTTAAATTTGCTGTATACATAGTTTATGATCTATTTATACGTAACCTTTTTGGATAATAGGGGTAGCAATGTTAAATTCCAAAATATGGAAGATTTATACTTCAATTTTTAACATGGATTTCCTATGCTGAGCTTTTGTGAAGTGGGGTTTTTTAAAATTACTGACGACAATTTTCTTAGGATTTTTTTTTAAAAACAAGTATGTGGTAGTGGAGAGTGTCCTAATTAAAATACGATTTTGAATAATATGGCAAGCAACCCTTTTTTAAACTGTAGCTTTTATTCATTTTTTTTTTTTTGCTGGATTTATGTGCGCTGCGTACTGCAGCTATTTTTAAACTTCTGCGCAGAGTAAGCGGGTCTTAGCAGTGCTGAATAGCTCAATTTAACTTTGTTACAGCAGTACAAACTTACTCATGAGAAGAGATATTTTAGGTTGCTAACCACTGTATTTAGGTTGCTAACTACTGTCGGAGAACGTCCTTATCCTGATAGGAAACTATTTACAAAATTATGTGACGAAATCTTGCACTAAAATTGTAATTTGCAATTATACAGACATACTTTAGGAAATAGATGTAAAAACATTGATTTTTTCTGAAATATTTGTAGTTGTTTGCAAAATTACTTTCCAAATACTATTTCGGCAAAAGAATAACAATATGGCGAATCATCTTAGCAATATATTTGCAAAATTAATTTCACAAAGAAATCGTCCAATAATTGAGAATATATATATA